AGTCAGGCTGAGGTCACCTGGCCAGGTCTCCCTGCATTTGCATGCATGTCCATGAACTCCAGCAACACCAACCAAGTTGCATCAAATGAACTTGAGACTATGCTCAAACTTTCTGAGCTTTACCAAGCAGGCTTCAAGATGGACGATGCTATTGTGGAGGTGCAGAGGAGCTCTCCAAGCTGTAAGGCATACATGGTGGATGTGGCTTTCTTTTGTAGAATGTTCACAGGAGGATCAACATTCCCCCTGCTCAGATGCTTAGACATGTTCTGCACCTTGCTACCAAAGGAAACTGTGTATTTTGTCTATTTTGCACCAAAACATTGCCTACTGTCAAAACTTCACAGAGCCTGGTTTGCCAGTGCCATTTAGCCAAGGTAAATCCTGTGGCCACAACCTCTTGATTGGTGAAGAGATGATGAATCACCTTGCACACTATGATTTTAAAATCTCTGGCCAGACCATGGTGCTGACAAGGTTTGCATTGGCAGCATGCATCCTAACATCCAGAAAACACCAAGATGGCATTAGCAAGCTCATCTACAAGTCAGACCTTGACAAACTGAAGAACAAAGATAGCACCAGGAAGTTGGATGATATGCTCCATTCTCTGTGGACAGAAGCCCAGAAGGTATCAAACACAGAGCTTGCCTACATTGCCTTTGGCAAGGCAGCTGTCAGAATGACACTGCATGCCCTGAGCAAACAGAAGATTGCCAAACAGGAGTCCTATGACAGCTTTGAAGAGATTGTAGAACAGTTTCAAGCTGATTTGGTGTCACCTGCCAGCAGCACTGTGAAGGCTACCAGTGCTTCTGCAGTGTCCACAGATGAGACTTCAGTTCAAGACCTTGTCAACTGCAGCAGCCAAACTGTGGCCTTGTTCCAAAACAATCACATTAAGCTCAATGAAAAGCACCCAGGCTGCAAATTGATTCCCCCAAGAGAGTATTGTTTATCACCAAGCTGCACTGCACCTTGATCGAACATATTTTTCACCACCCCTTGTTGTGGCTTTGGCTCAGGTACACTTGCCCTTCCCAGTATGAGGACAAAATCTTCATCCTCAAGAGCATTGATGACACAGGGGCCCATTTTCAGCACTCTCCTTTGTTTGGTGACCCTTTGAAGCATTGCCAAGACTTGGCATCCTTGAAACAGTGGAAGCATACCAAAAGGGAGACTACTCAGCTCTGCCCTCCAGCTCTATGTGCACAGAGAATGGCCTACAACTTTCCAAGTGTGCAGAAGGAGGCAGACAAGATGTATGTGAATGCAATCCTGATGGAAGCCTACATGACCAACAAACTCAAAGAAGATGATATGGTGAGCTTCACTTTGCACCCCAACAATTTGGTGCTGATGAAGAAAGCAAAAAAGAAAGAACTCAGGTTCTTTCCTGCTGGCACTTGCACAGCAGTACCAGAGAAGGATCTGGACAAGATAGTGGAGAAGAACAAAGCCACTTTGGTATGGTACAAGAACAAGCCTTTCAATGTTCAGCCTTTCAAAGCTGTGACCAGCTTGGAGAAGCCTGAGAATGGCATCTTTTGCCCATTCTTTTGGGCAAAGGCTTCAGAAGAAGCTAGTGAGATCAACCTGGCTACAGGTTGGGTGGACTTCAAACAGCTGAAGATCCCAGTGCTGGAGAATCCTGATGGCATCAGCCCTCAGACCCTGCTCTTCAAATCTACTGAAGAGCACTTGGAAATTGAACCACCTGCCAAAAAGGCAAAAACTGGCTGACACCACCTTCTGAGAAGGGAGTGTTTCAGATACTTCATGTGTGGAGTTCAGTGAATTGAACATCCATATACCTTTTGCTGGTAGCTGGTGTGAGCCACCTGAAGGGTAGCTGAGACCTCAGTCCTGAAAGAAAAATAGACTCCAACTCCACTCAAGTTTTCCTTCTGCAAGCATCACATTGTGTAAGTCAGTTGGCAAGCTTATAAGCAAGCCTCAATTGCATGTGTTTACTTGTTTGATTAGCTGTGTTTCAGCACACTGGTGCTTTTGTTTGCTGTTTTCAGCACACTGGTGCTTTTGTTTGCATTTTGGTTAATCTTTTGGGTGAGCTTTCAGAGCTGCAGTGTGTTGTTTGACAATGATTGTTTACACAATTCTTGCAATCAATACTGCTCAAGAGAGCTGGCATGTAAATGGGTGTGTTTTTGAGCTGGCTCATGTTAGTCTGTCACAACTACAAGCACAACTGTGTACGCTTCACAGTGGTAGACTTTTCACTGTATCATGGATAAGAGGCCTGTTGAAGCCCCATGGCACCATGCAAGGAAAAGGGCCAGGAAAGTGCCAGCATCACTGGATACACTCCAGGATGAAGGAAAAGCTCTTGAATATGTTTAATTTGCTTTACAGTTAGGGATTGTGGTTCTTTTTAAATTACTTCTCTGGAAACCATAATAGTTGGTAGGTTCACTTTGTCTATGTATATGTACCATCAGCTTTTGTATGGTTACCAAGGATGCACCATCTACTATAGATGGCTTGGTTTCTGAAGCTGTTCCAAGCCCAGAGTACGATGCATGGAATGACACATGGCAAGAACTGGATCCAAAAGATGGTGCTTCAGCTCAAGAACCAGCTGCTCCTGGTCTAGTTCAAGAACAACACACTCCTGCTCCAGTTCCAGCACAAGACATTCCAGTTCAAGACACTCCTGCTCCAGTTCCAGCTCAAGTGCCACACACTCCTGTTGAGATGAAGAGTGCACAGGAAGCTACACATGTTCCAGTGCAAGGTGCTAAGGCTAAGGCTGGACCTCCTTTGCCTTTTGAGAAGGCAGCAAGGGTGCATAGCAAAAGCTCGTCCAAAGGAAGCTTGAATAGCTCCAGCTCCTCTACACCTGCCAGGCCTTCAAAGTTTGCATATGACCTACCAACACCTGTTCCTGAATATGATCCACAAACCAAGTCCAGGCTGGTTTGCACCCCTGAAGAAATGAAGAAGTTTCTCTTTGGATCCCAAGCATCAAGCAGCTCTGACATTTGGAATGTATTTCAACACATTTGGTTAATGTTTTGATTGTAATTATATTGACAAGAGTATATAACCATCAATTGTAATTTAATTGAACCACAGTAGTCAGAACTATTTGTTTCAATTGATGTTGTTGAATACAACCTGTAAGGACAAAGAATTTCTATCACCTGTACAAGGTGGAGGCTGGTTTAGAAAAACTGGAGGCATCATAGTTGCCTGGAAACTTGGTGAAACTCATCGCATGAGAAGACTCCTTCAAAGGTGGGAGGAAATTCCGCTCATGAAGGCTTTTACAAAGAGTTTGATGGACCATGTCAAGGAACATGGATGGCCCAAGAATTTAGAGGGAGAATATGGTATGGACTGTCCATAGATTGACTGTGGTGAGAGTGAAAAA